GTACTAGAGAAGGAGGTTTAGATTGGACATTAGGATTTCTTTTTCATGGAAAAGGTTACCAAACATTGGAACAGGCTGTCCAGGGACGCAGTTGAGTCCTCAACCCTGGAGAAGTACAGAGACAAGTCAAGGTGTCACTTACAGACATGGCCTACGGGTGGACTTGGCAGTGTGAATTTGCAGTCAGACTCAGTGATCCAAATAATTTCCAACCCAAATGATTCTATGATTTGTTTGGAAGAAAAGTGAAATGCTTTCAGGTAGAAGTCTTTCTATGGTATTGCTGTTTTATCCTGGTAACTTCCACACAACTTGAATTTAAATTATGTTTACTGTGTCTGTCTGGGACAGACTTAATTTCTTTCCATCTGTCCTTTGGTGCTATGTGCATCCTGGTGACCAAAACGGTGCTGAGAACACACCATTGTTTTATTTAGGAAATAAGTACTGAGTACAAAAACTTCCTTCTGTTCATAAATACAGTTCAAAGACAGCCTACTTAAGAAAATGAATAGTTAAAAATGTTAAGTATTGTGGAAGAATGTTCCAGGATGTATTCCCCCAATCACTTTCTGAGATATAAGTAAAAGATGATGGTGAAGATGGATGCAGCTGCATTGAAAGGAATGTTTCTTCTCAAGGAAAACCTCAGTACCATCTGTGACAAACAATACCAAGCCATTCAAAACTCTTGTTACCATAAACTACAGAAATATCTCCTAATTAGCTAAGAAGCAGCTAAAAATAAATCGTTGATTAATGCATTTACTCTGAAACAATTATTTTAACAGAGAGGGTAGTATAAACTGTCTTGTAGGGAAAAAAAACAGTACTTTGACAAGATCAGTCTCAAAAAATTCATAACACAAGAAAAAGAGTAATACTGTATATTAGTGACAGTTATTAAAAAAAAAAATCCCCTTTAGAATGAAGATATTCAAACCAAAATTATTTCCCTGGATAAATCAATAGTAAAATTACCAATTGACAAGGAAACTGTTCAAATAATTGTGGAAACTAAAGTATTTTCATCACTCACACAGTTGTCAAATAATTTAGAGGACTTCCAGTAGGTTCTTTACTGCTGAGACCATACATTGTGTCAACTATGACAAGTCAAGGTAGCTTTTAGAAGTCTCTTCCACACATAGATGTCTCAGTTTCGTGCTGAGAGTCACCTTGCCCTCCTTTTAAGCTGATTTTTGGTGTGGCTATGCACAAATTTGGCTTGTTCAGCCTGGAGAATGCTGTGGGGGGACCTTACAGCGCCTTCCAGTGCATAAAGTGGGCCACAAGAGAACTGGAAAGAGACTTTTCACAAGGGCATGGAGTGTTATGATGACGGCTAAGGGCTCTAAACTGAAAGAGAGAGGGTTTAGATCGGATATTGGGAAGAAACTCTTTCCTGTGAGGGTGGTGAGGCCCTGGCACAGGTTGCCCAGAAAAGCTGTGGCTGCCCAGCCTTGGAAGTGCTCAAGGACAGACTGGATGGTTTGAGGTTTGAACAATGTGGTTCTGTGGCATCCTGAAACTGGACAATCTTTGAGCTTCACTCCAACCCAAACCATTTTATGATTCTATGGCAGAAATTTATCAGGACTGAGCAGATCCTTATGGCAGCAGTCCCCAAACCAGAGCTTCTGAGCAAACTTTGACCACAGAATTTTGTTGCAATGATTAATGCAATGGGAAATAAATAATATTTTTTTTAAAGTTATGCTGAAGACAGAAGGAAAAAATCCCACCAGCTGCAGTTGAATAAGGTATGTTATTTTATTAGTAGCACTGCTAATGTGTAAAGGAATGTTGTAGACCATTGCATTTCAGCTGGACTTTCAGGTTTTTTCATTTCTTTCCTAGTTCCTAACTAGGTCAGCAAACTGACTTTGGTTAAAATGCTGGCTTTTGCTTCACATGCACTTGAGACTACCCACTAGCTCCTGTTCACATCTTCTTCTGAAACACATGAACTTGTGTCTTCCCATTTTTTGTACCAATCAAAAAAAACCCTCAAAGCTCTGTTCTGTATTTTCAAGGTTATGGAGTGAAGTGACAGTTTGGTGAGTAAAGATCTCCTTTCATAGTGCATGCTTTTTCATAAATCAATCGCTCATTTCGAACTATAGCCCCAAGAACAGAGGAAGTATCAGATGTGTCCATTATTAAGGTAGAAATTTCAGACAGCCCATCATCACTAAGAAGCTAAACTGGAACTCAATCAACAAAAGTTGATGCTATTGACCTCAGACATATTAATGTTTTATGCTGCATTTTTGTAGGTCTAAGCACTAAATTCATTACCTATTGAAAATACAAGGAAAAAAACCTGATACGCAAATAAAACACATTTGTAAGAAAAATCTACTGTATTCTCATGCTTCAGGAAAGAGGCACAAATAACTGGGAAGAATATTTAATTTAAAAATTACATATTATATTCCCAAGACATAGATAACACAGTTCTCTTTGCAGCTCAATGATGACCAAAACTGCTGAAAGCTTACAAATGTTATGTCATTAATCCACTATAAATACAAAATCTGTCAGGCAAAGGTTAAGGTTCTGCAAGTTCTAAAAGGACCTCCTGATTTTTTCACCCCACTTCACCCTGGCCTGTTAGTTTAAAATCTCTGAGGATACTCAGTATTACCCAAATCACAAGCATTATTATTTCAGTTGCTCTTTCATTTAATGAAAACATTTATTATGACTGAGTATGCCAGTAAATGAATGACTTCTGTTAATGTCACAGGCTCAAGAAAACCCATCATCCCATCCTCCTAATATCAAAAATATTCAGCACAGCAGTAATCATACGTCAATGACATTTTTCTTACACACATAAACACCACAAAAACACTTAAAAAAAAAAGGTTTGATTAAAGTTATACATTAGATTTCAATAGTATCTGAACAAAATTTCTTGCCAAAAACACCAACAATTCAAAATCTGTCAGTCTCCTTCAGGAAACAAGAAGATCATACTGTGCCCACCATAGAACAAAACAGATTTTTATCACTATAATCACGCCAATGATCGTGCCATATTCCGGATTATACTGGGACACAAGAGTAACTCAGATTAGGCAGCACTGTGAACATGAATCACCATCCCTGGAAGCGTTCAAGAAGTGTGTGAATGTGGCATTTGGGGATGTGGTGAACACATTGGTGTTGGGTTAACAGCTGGACTCAGTGATCTGAAATGTCTTTTCCAGTATAAATGACTCTATGATTTTATGTTTCAAACTACTTTTCTCCCCCATATTTACCCTAGCTCCTTTTTTTTTTTTTAAACCACTTTGTACATTTTTGTAAAATATTTTAGTAACTGAATCCCAGAGTCTTACTGAAATGTAAACTCCTTTATGTATTCTAGTAAGTGCTGCCAGTTCTTAAAAGATAGAAGAGGTCCTAAGACACCCCAAACCCTCAAGAGGCTGCAGAACTATTGTTTAGGGTCTGTATGATGAACCAAAAAAATCATGTTATAATAGCTATGTTTTAAATTAACTTGGAGTGCACATGTTTTTGTGTTTGCATACTATGGCTATTTTGGAGTACTTAAAGCTTTTAAGAATTCACACAATAACTGCAATTATATCTTGTGTGCTTTCCAAATGTGCTGTGCACTTCAATGCAGCTCATCCCAGTGCTCAAGCAAAACATTCCTCACTGGATTTTCTCATCGTGTTAAATGACAGTCCTAACTTTCTGCTAGAGCAAAAATTCCTTGATTCATTTTTCATCGTGGTGTATGACAGTATTTGCTTTGTCTGGGATTTTTAAAGGAAATAAAACTTTCAGAATTGTAACTCAGATTGCGTGAGACTGCATACAAAATGTAAAACACAGAAGTATCTGTGAGAGATGGAAATTATGCCTAGGAACACAAAGAGTAATCCATAAAGTTGAAAACAGGCTGAGATTAAGAAATGTCATATTGCTTGAAATCCCCGAAGGCAAAGACACAGAAGGCATTTTATAAGAATGGATTATTAAGGTGCTGAGGGTAAAGAGTTTCTACTTCCTTCTGGAACAGAACATGGCAGATAAACTGACTGAAAATGGAACAAGATGTTTCTCTCAGAAAAACAGTATTTTCTGAGCTCATTTCAGAGAAGCAAGTAATTATATGCCTCATACACAAGAATCAAGAGATAATGCAAGGCAGTATAAAAATAATTGATATGCAGTATGTACAGTGACATCAGAACTACAAATTGATGTTACAAAATGTGTTAAATGCTCAAGAACAGTGCATCTTACTTTAAAAGTGAAACTCCAAGTGCCCCTGATACTCTGTGACATGCATTAGCTGGATGGAAAGAAAAAAAACAGGTTCTGAAAGTGTAGCCACTGGCAAAGCACTGATGGTTGAATTTTAGAGAGTAAAAAAACTGCTCTACCCCATGCTCACTGTTCCCAAGGTTAACAGACACTATTAATGCTTTCGTTTTTTGATTTAGGTACTCTTGTACCATATTATCAGATGCTGAAGTCCATACTGGTTATCACTTACTCCATAAAATTTTTGTTTCAATTTGCAGGACAGAAAATTATTTTTCCTTTTATTTCACAAAATAGTAGTAGTAGTAGTAGTAGTAGTAGTAGTAGTAGTAGTAGTAGTAGTAGTAATAATAATAATAATAATAATAATAATAATAATAGTAATAATAATAATTTTAAAGTAGTTGTAACACATTACTTCAGCATAGGAATTTTTTATTTTGAAACTTTATGATGTGTAACAGTTAGAACTGGATTTAAAGTAAGATAGATACTTAGTACTCAGAAAAGCAAGAGAAGAACATAATAATGCATATGTAATCTGTAATTCCTACTCACAACACAGGCAGCTCCAGTCCCAAGAACAACTAAAATCTTCCAGACAAGTCTATATTGCAGGAATATCCACCCAAGTATGACAGTCATTCACTTCCAGAGTGTCAGAATGCCAAAATCCAGACCAAAAAAAACCAAAATGATGAGAGACTTACCCCATTTAAGGGAAATGTTTTCCATCCTAGTTCTCCCAGGGCAGTTGTAGTATCAAGTAACACAACTGAAAATGGAAAGAGAAATGGTGTTTGTGGTATTGCTTGGATTAGACATAGCAAAGTATTAAAACAGGAAGGACTGAACTTGCCATGCTACCCATGTTCATTTGGGCTTTCATGGCTTACATTTCTTAACTAAAAATGCCTCAAAACCCATAGATACCCCTAAATCTTTTGCAGAAATCATTGCCAAATCACAGTACACTATTGATATTTAACCATTAAAGATGCCTGATCAAACATGCACATTCCTACAATCCCTTGCTCGCAAATCTGGAAAGTCTGAGGCATTAAAACTAATAAAATACACAGTTTCAAAAGTAAGTTGTTTTATTTTATGAAACCCATAAACTTCCCAGAAATAAAGTTACAGAATTTACAAACCGAGAACACAGAAAGTCAACTTCAGTTTCTCTCTTGCATGGGGTATCACAGTGTTAATATCCACTGCGTATATTTTGTATCACTTCTGTCATATTCATGTTGGATTTTTTGATATATGATAAGATGTCCATTATTGTATATTACAAAATGTGTCTGTATTATTTTTATGTTAAATTACATTAACTTCCTTTTTCACTTCCATTCACTGGTGCTAAACAAATAATATATAGCACATGAGACATTCTACCCACAGGTACTACTGCCCTCTAATGGAATTGCTTCATCTGACCCTCTAACTTCAGAAATCTATGTATTAGATGTATACATGAATAAGTGTATTAGGATTTAAACACAAAATTAAGTATTATACAGGGCAGTTTATTTTAATTATTGAGTTGGTGTGTTTTGAATGCTGAGTTCCTCCTTACAGCCCACTAATTCCAGTTCTTCTTTGAATTGTTAGATGATGGAAAAAAATAATTAAGCAATTAATTTGAAACATGACCCCAGTATTCATGCAATTGTTGGGTTTATATTGCCATGTGCTATCTTCCACATCTTGTCTGTCCAAATAATCAATGTACAGCTATATATAATGTGATTCTACAGAGCAGTACAGCAGCAGCAGAACCAGCTCATGTTTTTCTGCCTTATGGAAAAGGCACCTTGGCATGGACACTGAACTTGGCAGCTCATTAGAGGGAACCTGACCCAGCATCTTCCCTTCTCTTTTGTACCAGTGACACTTAGAGCTCCTCCATGTCTGAATGGATGGTGACTTTTAACCTGAAACTGAGATTTGCTGTCTCATCAACAGAGGCAAGTAAAAAGCTCAACATAAACCACATAAAAGCTTAATGGTTTACGTGAAGAAATAATATTTTTAAAATATATTCAACAAAGGGAGTAGTCTGCTCTCCACTTCTTCACCACTTCACTGTATAAAGCTTCGTGAGTAATATGAGTATAAATTAACCATTTTTTACAATCCCCATTTTACTTCTTTAAAAAAACAGATCACAATCCTCATTGACACTTGCTGCTTTCCACTTGCTTAAAAAGCTGATTTATAGCTGTCATAGTATTTTCTATTTGTGTCAGACTACCATGCACTTGTGGAAAAGTAAAACAAAACATCTTCTCACTTGACATTTGACACAGCAGTTTCCTGTGTAAAACTTTTAAAACTTTAATCTACTGTTACCTCAAAATAAACCCAAACAAACTGGGTTTACATATTTCTTTTTCATAGAGAGAACCAACTGCTCAGCAGGTTTCTGAGAATGTTTCACTTCATCTTAAGCGTTTGTTTTCTCTTTCCCATCTCTTCCCCCCTCCTCTCTCCACCCAGAAAACATGGACCATTTGTTATGTACTTTGTTTCCAGCTAAATTTCAATTTATATCTCACTCTTTGTCAAGTGCTATTCCTATGGATCTGCAGGTAGAAATAAATTTTCCTATGAGCAGCATTAGGGTTTGAAGAGTCATTTCAGTTTTACAATTTCTGTGGTAGCAAGACTGCAATTTAATAAATATCATCCACATATTCAAAATTAATACTTCTGTGGAACAAGACCCAAAATACAGAAAGGAAAACTAAATGAAATTAATGAATTCATTTCTTCAGTGAAGCCTGAATTAATTAATTCCTTGCCTGAATTAATCAAGTACTATTTGAAGGCTCAAAGCTATACATTTAAAAAATTAAAAACTAGAGTAAATTCATCACTGAAAGTATATTAAGTTTAGATTTAATTGAGCCATGATCTAATAATATTCCTCATATACATTTACCAAATGATCCCCAATGAGTAATCAAGTTTTGTTAAAATACAGTTTTTGATACCTTTGACATACCAAACTCTTGAATGCTCACATATTCTTGCCTCTAGCTACCAAATCTGTAAGAACTGGAAAATTCAAACCAATCAGAGAATTCTCCAACTGGAGAATTCAAACCACCAAACAACTACTAACCAGGACTAGAATGGTATCACCTGCAGGATCAGAAATGAAAATAATAAAAGTGGAAAGACTGTCTTTCCAACACCATTTATATTACATGACATAAAATAACCACCCATCAAAAACGTGCAAATACTGAAAGATCAAGTAAATCTGATGTTTATGCCAAAGAAACACAAACTCCAGTGAAGCTGTGGATTCAGCAGGGCCTGCTATACAAATGAGGACATGGATAAAGCAATAAAATCCTCACATACTTCAGAGGTTTGGAGTTATCTCCATGCTAGACTTCAGGGTGGGACAGAGACACCCAAGCTAGCTTTAAACCAGGTGATCAAGAAGCAGCCTACTCCCAGCAGCACAAACCTGATGGCAGACAAATCTGCACTGCCAAGGCACTTCCAACTCACAGCTCTTATGGCAGAAAATTCCCTCTGTCAAAGAGCTCCAGGCTAAAAGGAATGCCAGTATGTAAACATCTGAATTACACACAGGAGAGGAGGCTTCCCCTCTGCCTGCAAAAGAACTGGAAATTCACATGCAGAGAGACTAAAAAAAGATGGTGGGCACTACTCCTATGATGCTTATAATGAGAAAATTCTCTGAAAAGCTAATGGGATCACAAAGTCGTATTTATTGACCCTTGTCCCTACATTTACTTATTTATGCACCTTTGTATGCCATAAAATGCTCCATCCTTCTTAAGAAAAATGAAAAGTGTCCATTATGGACAAGCCATTAGCTGCCAGCATAAACAGAAGTATGTCTGGAACTACTGCAGTGAATATTTTATGGGAAAAGCTGGTTGAAAATCAGCAATGTTACTGACATTAGTGACATCCAACCTCCACTTTTAGCAGGCACTTTTCTGAGGTGATGGCTCTAAAACTTGCACAGTGAACAAGAGTTTGGTCTGCCACTACGAAGTCACGTCACGACTCAAAATGAACTCAAAGATCCTTTTAAAAAAAACTCTGGATAAAAAGAACTCAGATTTAGCACTTGAATGTCCTTCCTTAAATAACTGAACTGGGGATACTAACACTTGCCCAACAATAATATACAGACTTAAACATACATCTGTAAGCTTGTTGTTTAAATACCTGCACACTTCATTCTTAGAAGTGTTTAGCTTTGTTTTCCAGCACATACTTTAATAGATATTGTATTATTATTACTCATTATGGTGTATTGAGCTGCAGTTTCCTTTATTCTGGACATTATCTTACACTGCTATTATCAGACTTTACAACTGAAATTAATCTTTTCAGAGGTTTTACCTGGTCCCAAGGAAACTGTTTTACCTAAAATTATGACGAGCACAGCTCCAAGGACTGACAGGGTGGAATTTTCATTTTCATTCCAAAATACTCTTCTAAAGATGAACTCTGCAACCATCTCTGTACAACCAAGGAAAAAAGTCTTCCAAACATTAATCTCACCAGTTTCTTTTCTTCTTTTTCTAGACAGGGTATATGTGAATTAACACAATACATACAGGATTTTGGAATCACAGTCTAATGTCGGATCACCCAGTTAGATCTGCTCATTTTAGACATTTCACTGTTACCTCTAGAGTGGGTAAGCCTAAGATTTGCAAGGAAAGCAGAGCAAATACACAGATCTGGAGACAACACTAAGAGCTCAGGAACATCTCATCTGTACTGCGTAAAGGACACCCAAAAACCCCCTGAAAGTTTCAGTATCTTCCAGCAAGGTAGGGAGGCATTACAGATGACCCTCAGAAATGTGAAAAACTGGCACCTTTTTTTGTCCCTGAGAACTTTATTACTGACTGCAAAGTTTGTATTTATAAGGCAAACACAGAGCTTTTGAAGTCTCTCACTTCCAGCCCTCAAGAGAGTTGCTGCTCTCTTCTGAAGTGTCTGTACTTTTTTTCAGGTTTTATGAGGTTTTTTTTTCATTTTTAAGAGAGGATCACATGGAGTATTCTCAAATCACTCCTTGTAATGACATGTATTAAGAGCCCTGGCTATTTTTATATCCTGTTTATATATCCAGGGTCACAATAACCTGTTTTTTTGCTGCAGCACTGTACTCACAGGCTGTTATTACTCTATCTAGATCACCACCCTATACAGACTCACTCCTTTTCATCATTATTTTTTTCAGTTTGGGTTATGTTTTTGCTCTTGAATGTACAAAGACCCATTTGTTTATACTAAAACAAGTTTCATTTGCAAGGGCTGACCTTTACTAAGTGAGAAAAGCTCCTCCCTGTCTGCACACCCTCTTTCCTTACTTGCTACTCCTTTTGTCAGGTATTGAGTTTATATTTATTTTCAGAATGAAAAATGTTAGAATACAGAAGAGTGTATATCTCAAATTCTGTGATTTAACAGTCACTAAAACTACTTCAAGGTTTCTTAGACCTCAGGGGTTTTTAAAACCATTTAGTTTAAAAAAAAAAAAAGCTTTTTACTGTCAGAAAATTCTGTCACTCTGTCATATTCTATTATAATATAAAAAACCTCAACATATTACTGCTGTGGCTTGCCTGCCCAAGGAAGACAGAAAGAAGAAGGGGATATGCAATATTCAAGTTACCTTGGCAATTAACGTATGATCAGCTGGGAAAAATTATTTAAATGCTTGGATTTATGACCAGGCCTGTTTTCCATAAACTAA